CCAGTCTACTTCGTAACCCAGACGCCAGGGATCTTGGCGTCACAGAAAAAGATCAGAAACGAAATTTATTTTGAAACGAGGTTAAATCGGGATTTAGCTAGCCCTATAGGTCAGAATATTAATTTTGTCCGGATTGGGAGGGCATGAAGATGGAGCGCCTGCGGGAAGGGGGAATCATGGCTCCGCCCCTCGAAAGGCCGGCATCTTTTATCCCGTTCCCATTGTTGGCAAGGGAAGGGGAAGGGAGGGAGGTGAGGACTGAGAAGAAGCGCGCAGCAAAAGGCGCTCGCACACCGGGCGTATCATTGCCCTCTACTCTACTCTACTCTACTGCCCCGGCCAGGCCCATCCTACCGCCCTCTACTCTGCGTACGCCGTACCACCACCTCACCGCGCACCACTGCTTCTACCGCGGCGCGGGGGAGGCGCCTCCTCCGCGCGTGCTCCCGGGCCTAGCACAGCTCCACCGCTTTGCTTTGCCTCGCCTTTATCAGAGGCAGAGCGCCCCCTCCCCCTCCCCTCCCCTCCCCCTGCCGCCGCGCATTTGCCACTCGCCTGCTCGCTCGCCCCCTCCCCCTCCTCCTTGCTCTTCGTACTCGCTCCGGCACTTGCGCTCGGGGGTCTTCTTCTCCTTCATCCCCGGAGTCATTGCTGAGTCGCCGCTCCCCGCCTGCCGCACAAGGTTGCTAGGTACGTACGTACGTTCTTGGCTTCCTCTTGCCCACTTTTCGATCAACTCCTCGTTGCTTACCCGATCACCATTTTTAATCACCACTGCTTGCTAGTACTACTTGGCAGTAGCACCAGCTTAGCTTACAGTGCCGCCGGCGGTTTCTGGCTCTGCTCGCTCTGGAGGCGCCGGCGCGCGGCATTGCCCTTCTCGACACGGCCCGGGGTGAACTGACTCCATGGGGTTCCGTTTCGTCGTCTTCAGGCTCCCTTCTTGTGAGACGCCTCGCCTGGGCACCGGACTAGCTCCAGCGATCCTAGAGAGAGAGAGAGAGAGAGAGAGAGAGAGAGAGAGAGGGGCGTTCGTGCTACCCCACCCCACGCCCCAGGCCCCTTGGCGAGCTCACGGGACGGGGGGCGGCGGCCGAGCATTCCGCCGAGCACCATCTACAAGCATAGCAAGATTCCCGGCGCCATTTTGCTCTGCGCCTAGCTCCAGCCCCTGTCGGCTCTCGGCTCTCGCGTCGCGTGAATGAAGACACAAAAGCCGCCTTCTTTCTCGGGAAAGTGAGGGAGGCGGGTTTTTAGCCAGCCATGCGGACCCAGCCCGAGCTCTCTCTCTCTAGCTTGCTGCTAGCTCGCCATTCCAAACGCATTTTTTGGGGGCCTTCTTGTTCCCCTTTTGCCTACTTAATCCTGCCTGCTTCCTTGCTTGCTCACACACTGCACTGTTACTGATATGCATCCTCTGCTTCTCTTGCCAATGGCGCCATCGCAGTTGCAGGCACTCTGCTTTCCGAGAAGCTCTCGCTGACTGACCATCGATCAATGGCGAAGCACGGTTAAGCCGCTCCCTCAGCATTCGTGCATCCGCCTGCAGCTCGACCTCGACTCAGCGGCGGTTCTTCAGCCTCGTCGGCCCTCTGTTGGATTTCGTTGGGGGGCAGATGGCGGCGGCCTCGCAGGAGAAGCAGCAGCAGCTGCCGACGTTTGGCGTGCTGAGGAACGCGGCGGCGCTGCTCGACGAAATGCAGCTCATGGGGGAGGCGCAGGGCGCCAAGAAGGTGATCAACTCGGAGCTCTGGCACGCCTGCGCCGGCCCGCTCGTCTGCCTGCCGCAGCGCGGGAGCCTCGTCTACTACTTCCCCCAAGGCCACAGCGAGCAGGTGCGTCTCAATCCTTCTTCTCCACGAACAGTCCTGCTCTGTTCATCTGGTTTAGATCACTTGACTCAATCCATGGAATGCTCAAGTTTTTCTTGATCTGGCAGGTTGCGGCGACCACCAAGAAGACGCCCAACTCCCGCATCCCCAACTACCCGAGCCTGCCGTCGCAGCTGCTGTGCCAAGTCCACAACATCACCATGCATGTAGGTGCACATGGTTCATCTTCAGGTTCAGGTGTAATAGGGGTTAGTGGCCTCATGCATTAACCACTTAGCCCTGATGAATGCTTGGGTTCTTGTCTTCCACAGGCCGACAAGGACACCGATGAGGTCTACGCACAGATGACTCTGCAACCAGTGAACTCTGTAAGTACTGTCGGAAATGGAGCTTGGTGAAAAATTCAGAACATGCTGAACATGCTGTATTTTATCCACAGTGTTCACTGAAAGTGTAATAAAACTGTCACCTGATTCGAAGATTCTGTCAATTTCAGGAAACCGACGTGTTCCCGATCCCGTCTCTCGGCAGCTATGCCAAGAGCAAGCATCCAGCTGAGTACTTCTGCAAGAATTTGACCGCGAGCGACACGAGCACGCATGGCGGTTTCTCGGTGCCGCGAAGAGCTGCAGAGAAGCTGTTCCCACAGCTGGTATGTCAGCCTTCTGTCCACATTTTCATTATATACTTGGTTACTCTTTGTGAATGCCTCAGTTCATGCATAGGTTATGTCTTTGGGCTTGCAGGATTACTCGATGCAACCTCCGAATCAGGAGCTTATCGTCCGGGATTTGCATGATAACATGTGGACGTTTCGTCACATTTATCGTGGTAGGGTCGAATACTGTTTGACTTGTTTTAACTTGTTCATTCATTCAAGGGTACATAATTTGGGTGTCCTGGGTCCCTGTCTTCTAAAAGTTTCTTCATTTGGTGCTACTTACAGGACAGCCGAAGCGACATCTTCTAACGACTGGATGGAGTCTGTTTGTCGGCGCGAAACGGCTTAAAGCAGGGGATTCTGTCTTATTTATCAGGTATATATATGGACCCAGCTTGCATGATATATACTACTACTGTGTATGTTTGGGATCTTAACCGAATGCATCTTGCAATACGGCATCTGAAAAGGTTCAGACTATGGTATTTGTCTGAACTCTTGGTTATTGGATGGAATGAACCATATGGATTATGGAGACAATTCCTGCATTCAATTGCCGTCATATTTAGGGGATACAAAGTTGGTTACAGTGTAGAGTCAATCTCAAATTATGTCCATGTTATTAAGATGTAACAAATGTACTACAGTATAATCCATTGCTTGGTCTTTCTACTATCTGTTTACAGACATATCCAACAACTCAATTTTTTCATGCAGCCGTAGCTGTACTTAACATACACATTTAAGCTACCCTGATTAGTGCTATAATGCTATGTGACACAGACACGTGGAAACAACTTGTATTACCTAAAAGATTTCCACTCGGTGAATTTGTGAGAATCAAACGTCCCTTCCTGACAAAAGTTACTGGTTTCAGGGATGAGAAGTCACAACTACTTGTGGGTGTTAGGCGTGCCACCAATCAGCAAACGGCATTGTCATCATCGGTTCTGTCCACTGATAGTATGCACATAGGTGTTCTGGCTGCTGCAGCTCATGCTGCATCAAGTGGTAGTTCATTTACCATTTACTACAATCCTAGGTACAAATCTTTCTCCATCTCCATTTTGCCTGCCAGTTCATATGGTTTACTGGTGGCATATTTAACATATATTCACTCTTGAAATCTCTTCAGGACGAGCCCATCGCCGTTTGTGGTTCCTGTAGCAAGGTACAATAAGGCCAACTATATCCAGCAATCTGTTGGCATGAGAATGGCTATGATGTTTGAGACAGAGGAGTCAAGCAAGCGCAGGTCCGCCCACTAACTAGAACTAAATACTCTGTCATAGGCAGATAGCATTTTTTTTTCTGCTTTTGATTTGATGCTCTGTATTCTTCTCCAGTAAACTGCAACTGATGTTAGAAGGCAATATAAACTGTTATGCTTTCAAGTTTAAATTACTTGTTCTGCAAATCTTTTTCACCTTCATCTTTGAGAAAAATGACCATATCAAAGCCACATCTACAATAGTGAGTGGTAGTATAATGCAATATACTATTCAAGTATGATGGTTTAGCACCATCTTTCAATGTGTATGCTCGGTGAAGTTGTTCTGCATCATATCTGAATAAAATTTGATCTGTTTGACAGATACACTGGTACAATTGTGGGAGTTAGCGACTCTGATCCGATGAGATGGCCCAACTCCAAATGGCGCAACTTGCAGGTGCCTTGCTTTCCTTCCATAAAACTTGAACGAACCTGCCTATCATCATTTCGCCCTCCTAATATTACTTTGCATCAACAGATTGAATGGGATGAACATGGATACGGAGAAAGACCCGAGCGTGTGAGCATATGGGACATTGAAACTCCGGAGAACACTATAGTGTTCCCTTCTGCATCATTGAATTCGAAGCGACAATGCCTGCCTGGTTATGGAGGTACTTCTCAACCATGCTTTATTACTTGCAGTACCTGGGGTAGTGACCGAGTCTGCAAATATTTGTTCTATCATTTCATAAGTTGGAAACTAACTCTTTTTGTTTTTACTTGCAGTGCCTGGGCTAGATATTGCATCTGTAAATATGTCACCATTTCAGAGGGCACCTGGAAATCCTTATGGTAACTTGCAGCACATGCCCGCCGTTGGATCAGAATTGGCTATGATGATGTTTCTGAATCAATCTGGCCAAAACATAGGGACTCCACTCAGTTGGAAACTAACTCTTTTTGTTTTTACTTGCAGTGCCTGGGCTAGATATTGCATCTGTAAATATGTCACCATTTCAGAGGGCACCTGGAAATCCTTATGGTAACTTGCAGCACATGCCCGCCGTTGGATCAGAATTGGCTATGATGATGTTTCTGAATCAATCTGGCCAAAACATAGGGACTCCACTCAGTTGTCACCAGTCCTCTTATTCTAGTATTATTCAAAATGTCAAGCAAAACTACATGCCTCCTTCAACATTTGGTCATCCCATTGGTTCAATAAAGCCAGAAAGCATGCCTTCCAATGAAGTCCAGCAGCAGCAGCAGTTGCATGCTCCTAAGATGCAGAGAGGCGACTCAGAAAGCTGTGAAGTTCATCCTGCCACTGATTCAGTTTCTGCGTCGGAGCTACATGTTGCAGGAAGAGAGCCAAGAAACACAGATAAATATCCAAGTCAAAGCATTTCAGAGCAAAATGGCAAGGGTGAGCCTAGAGTCAAGCCTCGGAGGAGCAAGAAAGGTTCATCCCGCAAAACCATTTCAGAGAATTCTGAACTTTCTTCGGCACCTTCACAGATTTGCGATGACCAACTGCATGTTTCAGAAGCAGAACTAATCAGTTGTGACACCAAAAATGTTAACTGTGGTAACAATGAAGGTTCATCTGGTGCACTTACTCATGGTGATTTTGCTGGACAGCTGCAGTGTCAGCAGGTCGAACAAAATGAGCTGGTGTCACCACCAAAGTTGGAATCATCAATATCACCTGATGGAGGGAAGTCAGTCAACTCATTTCCCAACCAGGCGTCTTTTTCGCAGTTCTTCGATGGTCTGGATTGGATGGTTCAGCCTCCCTATTACCAAGACTCCAATGGCATTCAGTCAGTTAGTGCATCAGAGAACATCTTCAGTCCATCTGCTAATATGGCTTCCACAATAAATACTGATACTCTAGAAACTTTTCAGAACTCTTGCCTCTCAGACTGCTTCCCAAATTCCATACAAGACTTCGTCGGCAGCCCGGATCTGCATTCGCTAACATTTCTGTCACCTGAGATGCAAAATCTGGATGTGCACCACGACGGAAGCAACGTACCGAGCACATCCAACTCATATGTACAAATGAGCTTCTCTGAAGATGATAGTGGAAATCACATGGAATCCATGCAAAGAGGAATGAATAACATCTCCTCATGCTCTCAACCGCAGACTACCGAGGGCTTCAATCTGGGGATGTACTCAAAGTTGCCAAGTTTGAAGGAGTCTCAAGTTCTGTCTCTGCCAGAGATCCATAACAGTTCCAGGGGGACATCGTCTTGCAGCATGGATGCGGCAGAGTACAGCATCGACCGAAATGCGAAGCCGATGAAACCACCGGTGCGGACATATACAAAGGTATGGTACTACAGCACTGCCAAGTAGGCAGCATTTGCTGAAAGCTCTCTGATAATGAGATAGTAACTTCAAACTTTTGCTTATGCTAATAATGTTATCTTGTAATCCATGACAAACAGGTTCAAAAGCTAGGATCTGTTGGAAGATCTATTGACGTCACACGGTATAGAGATTACCGTGAGCTGAGATCAGCCATCGCCTCCATGTTTGGACTCCAGGGGAAGCTTGAGCACCCTGCTAGTTCAGACTGGAAGCTCGTGTACGTCGACTACGAAAACGATGTGCTTCTTGTCGGGGATGATCCATGGGAGTAAGTATCTGCAGCTCTGTTTCTTGACAAAATGCAGCATAACACATCCATGTCCTAATGTAGTACAGTTATTAGAAATTCTTCACTCACTCACTCACTCACTCACTGACCATATTGTGCTTCTCTGAATCTTGGCAGGGAATTCATCAACTGCGTCCGATGCATCCGGATCCTCTCACCTTCGGAAGTACAACAGATGAGCGAGAACGGCATGCAAGTCTTGAACGACTGCATCCAAGCAGACCAGTAGGCCATTTCACAGATCAGGATGCGACTGCAAAATCAAAATAAAGCAGAGAGCAGGATTTAAGCTAGATTGCTGTTCTGAACACAGTAGCACCTTCCTTAGTTGACTGTAGGCTGATTTTTCTGACGGTGTATTTCGGTAGGGGATTTAGATTTACCAGCGTTTTGTGTGGTGTTATCATCTTTCCCAAATGCTGAAGAACCCCCAGGCAGTTTGCTGTGTGATTGCTACTTGCGGTGCTTGTTTGCCATGATGAGCTTTGTCGAGAGAGCCTGATGTCTCAACACTAGTGTAAATGTTAGAGCAGTTGGATTCGGTTTTGTTACAACTTTAGATTTATTTATTACTTACTCTGGTTTCACTGATGTGGATCTTGGTTGGCAATGGTGGATCTTGGTTGACAAATGCTATGCAAATAGGGCTTTTTTCTCGTACCTGGATCTGGATCTGGCGCTACATTCTTTCTCGTCGCCTCATGTGTCGTTTTCGTCGGTACTTCCTCCGTTCGAAAATATTTGTCGGACAAATGGATGTATCTAGACGTAGAGAGTATAAAAATCCAGAATGTTTTTGTTCCCAAAATTGGTCAGGCAGACAGTTTAAGGTTGAGGTTGGGGTCAAGCCTCCTCCTGCTATGCTATAATAATGGGCACGGCAACTCTGACGACAGACCAAGAAGAGCTTCAGAAACGGAAACCGACCCAAGCGTCTCAGCTCCTCTGCCGCAGCGGCCCGCCGCGACGCAAGATGGGGACAGACGCCCCCGCCCCCGCCCCGGCCGCGGCCGCCGGAGACGGCGACGCGGCCCGGAAGCGGCCGGGCGGGCAGGACGCGGCCGCGGGCGCCGACAGCAAGCGCCGCCGCGCGGAGCACCCCTCCTCCGGCTCCCGCGAGCGCCACGGCCAGCAGCCGCAGCCGCAGCCGCAGCGGCAGCAGAGGCCGGGGCGCCCCGGGGACGGGGGCAAGGGGAAGAGGGAGACGATGCGGGCGTCGCACATCCTGATCAAGCACGAGGGGTCCCGGCGCAAGGCCTCGTGGCGGGACCCCGACGGCGTCGCCATCTCCGCCACCACCCGCGACGACGCCGCCGACCTCGCCCGCGCCCTCCGCGACCAGATCGCCGCCGGGGAGCTCCAGTTCGACGCCGCCGCCCGCGACAACTCCGACTGCAACTCCGCCAAGCGCGGCGGCGACCTCGGTCAGTGCCTCCCCCCCTCCCTCCCCGCCCGCCCGATTTGCTGGTCTGTGTGTATGTGCTGCTGCTATGGATGTGTGGATTTGCTTCCGGGCGTGGCCAATTTTGGGGGTGTCGGTGGCGCTTGGCGTGTGGAATGCTGATCAGAATTGGCAAAACCAGCTTGGGTGGCGTGTTACATAACCTGGATATGTTGGCTAGTCCCATACAGCCTCACTAGAGTGTTGCATCTGAATGAGAAATGAACTATAATTCAGGTTCAGGAAATAATCTGAGTTGTTAGGCAGGAGTAGCTTCAATTGTGTGCAACAATGCATGAATGCAAGATGTTTCCTCTTCAAGTCTTTAACCAGGTTACTTACCAGAGGTTATGCAGGAGTAGTTCCACTGTAAGGTGGTTTGTTGTCGCCCCCATGCCTGTTGTATTTGAACTGACCAATTAATATCTCTCTGTTATCTAACCTTAGTCTGCTATAAGGGGGCTGGTTGTTGGTACCCATGTCTGTTGTATTTGAACTGACCAATTAATATCTCTCTGTTATCTAATCTTATAGTCCACTAAGGCGGTTCTTAGTTGGTACCCAAGTGTGTCGTTTGAACTGACTAATTAACATCTCTCTGTTTCTGTCAGAATTTTTGTTGTCCTTTGAACTTTCAGTAATTAGGTAACTACTTATATCCACTAGAACAGATAACGGCCGTGTTAACCAACACAGGATGATTTACTCCAGTTAGTTCCCAGTTTGCCCTTTCTATGAGTTTTGTTATTAATAATGGCTAAGGTTTCCTTGTTTTCTCTGATTTTTTGTTGCCTGCAACTATATGTAGAACCTGGTACACACTTTATGTATGCTTAATCCCAATGTTCAGCCTGCCTTTTGAGCCTGCCTTAGCCAGTTCAATTTTTCGCTAAGATTCCTACGTGTATGAATATTGTGGAATGTTGCAGGGACAACTCACGCCTGTGGGACACACCACAATACACTATAAAGACGTGGTGATGTATTATTTTTTCCAAAAACAAGAAGCTGACCTACTGAACATGATGACATGTTTAAATTGTACATGATCTCATAGTTGCTCTGTCCAAAGTTACAGAATGCTTCTCTGCAGTACCTTTGTATAATTGATAATTTCTTAGGGTTATCGAATCATCGATTTTGGAACATCAAATGGGACAATTGAGCACCATTATGAGCAGAACGTCGGAAAAAAATTAAGTCGAGCAACCAGGCACTAGCACCCAGTGGCATTGTTCTAAAGAAGTATGACGGGCACCAGCCAGTCAGTCCGCGGAGCGGAAACAAATTCCACCTCATCCAGGTGTCGAACCCTGGTGGGCGTGTTGGCACTGGAGCACCCCCACCAACTGAGTGACGTTCGGTTTCTCAGTTATGTTCTTATTGTGTTGACATATTTGCACTGCATGCACAGCATCCACAAGGGACTAAAATCATGAAAATAGGCACACATCACTAGATTGTTTTCTTGCTGGCGCAGTATTTTTTCTAGTGTTCTTAACCAAGTGCACCTTACATTGCTAAGAAATGTGAATTGCTCTAGTCCTGTTCAGGTAAACTCTATTTTGCATGGGAGTATGGGATGAAACATCTGTACAACGTAGACAATCCCTGCATTAAAATGCTATCATATTTAGGGGATGAGTCTAGAATCTGCTGTGCCTTTATTTACGTTATTTGGATGCTGTAATGAAGGAAGGCCATGTGCATCAGACTGTTATGTCTTGTCTTTTTCTGCGACAAACTCATGGTCTTTCCAGTTTCCACTAGTTCATCACTGTCTTCTATTGTACCCCTGATGCTTCAATTCAGTCATTCTCTTTCTGATTCAAAAATTCGTTCATAATCAGGCCTAACTTAACGTTTCACGATCTATGGCCGTAGGTCCATTCGAGAAGGGCAAGATGCAGAAGCCTTTCGAGAAGGCAGTGATTGCTCTGAAGGTGGGGGACATGAGCGACGTGGTTGACACTGAGAGCGGGGTGCACATCATCCTGAGGACCGGGTGACGGCGTCCGTGGAAGCTCTGTCGATCCATATGAGATTGGCTTGAAACATCGCGCGTTCTCTTAAGCAGAGACCTTTTGCTTTTAACTTGCATTGTAACAGTGCTGACTGCAAAGCTACTATGGGATTTGGCTGTATGCCAGGATTAGACGTTGGTGGTGCTTGTGTTGTCTCGATAATGTTACAACTTTTGAGTGAAATTCAGTTGTTATTCTCTTTCAAGTGTTGAACAGTCATTTCGAGTCCAGCCACTTTCACATTCACATATCCCTCTAGCTTTGAGTTTACCTTGACCACTGCACTTGTCTGCGGAAGATCACTAGCGAACAGCAGCAACAGCTAAAACAGAGGAAATGACAACCACAACAGTAAGTTCCTTCCAGCTTTGCAGTTCACACCATAACATAGTACTCCCTCCATTTTTATATACATGGCCACAAACTCAGATTACATGTACCATAGTAAAATTTAATGTCTTGTTTTATAAACCAGCTTTTCTTTTCGTTTACTGGATTTACGCCGCAAGCATGCAAGTAAGAAATACTGTAGGAAATTGAGTGAAGTGTCATTATGACTACATTCATGTAAGTATTAAACGGGTTGCTAGAACGAGAAAATATCATTAACTTTTGTCTCGATTACTGTTGTTCGCCTTGTATAGATGTAAAATGTATTTTCCATAGTGGCCTTGTACAAGTAAATGGAGGGAGCATAATGAATCAACAAACAGAAAACCCCACATAGTCCCTCATGAAGAGTGTACATTTGGCTTTAAAATTTATCTACAAAAAAGTGTACTTTTATCTTCCCAATACACTTTAAAGTAGAAAAAAGTTTATCTCTAATCGCACGGTAATCAAGACCAATAACATTCAACACTTGGTCTCTTTAATTTCTACATGCACTTAGCTCATTGCGCGTTGGGTAATTAAAAAGGAATGAGATGGTGGCTTGCACCTTTCCGATGCATTTTTACCCGACTACATAATTTGTCCTAAAATTTCTATATGTACACTTTTCACCGGACGGGGGGAGTATGCCGTCAAAAAGAATTCAAATCATGCATGCGAAAAAAGGAGGAGGACACCCACTAATAAAGAAAACTTATGGGCAGTAAATCATAGCAGCAAGATGGTAAAAGATGGAGGTTCATCAAACTATTATGTGATCATGTTTTGGCAGGGCACCCATACATCACATGTTCAACATTTACCATTTTTGGTTAGACATATGCGTGGAATATTCGAAAAACGAGTGTGTCAGCCGGTGAGTTCTCGGGCCGAAAGGAAGAGTTCCATATCAACATGGTTCTGTGCAAAAATGTTAAGGGCAGGTCCTTTTGAATGTAGCGCAATATGTGGTTTTTTTAGGAGAGTGTAGGGCTTGTTGGTGCTCCACAAAATGTATCATTGACGAGAAGCAATTTTAGAAGAAACCATCTTGCTTGTTGCACAAATATAAATAGGTATTTGCATGTTAGCGAGAATAAAAACTTGTAGTTACCACCTTTTCTTTCAGATTCAAGACATAGTACCTTCAGCACTACGCATCTGCAACATCTAGATTAGGATCTATTTTCAAAAAAAGCTTATGAATCATCAAAGAATCAACTACTTCAATAACAAAACCCATGGCGTGAGCAAATCGAGTCTAGATGGTTGTTTCTGATTTGATGTGTGATCGATACTCCTAGATAGTGTAAATGCTATCACGTGTAGCCCCAAGTGAAGACCCTCTTTGATGTTGGTGTGAGCAAGCCCATATGTCTCGTCAATTATCATAATCTTGACGCTCATAAGCATCGTGAATAGGAACAACCAACAAAATACTCCTGTCAATAAAGCTAACACATCATTTTCCGTATACTTGAGTATCAATCTCTTAATTGTGAGCATAATAACACAAACTGCCCAATGTAACATTGCATTTCTAGTGATGGGGGTACTTAATCTTCCACATACAAGGATAACTATCAGGCGATGGCTGCAGAAGAACTATCATTTGTTTATACTAATGTTTTGTACTTCTTTAATTCACTTTTTCGACACACATTATTAACAACTGTAATTTCAAGTATATTTCATAAATTAACCACATAACATTGTAGTTAAATATTAAAACACAATATTTTTACTATGTAAGTAGAATCTCATTTATCAACAATATGCTTGGAGAATATTTTTAGAATATTTTTACTATGCCAAGCTTGGAGGTGTTGCGGTATTTTACATCATCATTATTCTATTTTATTATAATATTTAGTAATATCTTGGTTGAGAGAAGTTTATAGTTCAAAATATTATATTACAAAGTGTTCTATTTTCTCCTTTGAAGCAATATATCGATGTATTTCTTGGTGCGAGAGTATATAATAAAGAGATGGCGTGAGACTTCCCTTTGCTTTTCGTTATTACATATTCTAATACTATAATTCAATCTTATAGAATTATCTAGAGGGAGGTCATGACTTTACATTGGAGGTTTGATAATGGAAAATATTGAAATTTAACAAATGAGCATTGATAAGTTACATAATTCTGATTTTTTGTTGGCTGCAACTATATGTAAAACATGGTGCATGTTTGTATGTTTAATCCCAATGTTCAGGCTGTCTTGTGAGCCAGCCTTCATTTATGTTATTTGGATGCTATAATGAAGGAATGCCCATGTTGCATTAGACCATTAAGTCTTGTCTTTTTCTGTGACAAACTCGTGGTCTTTCGAGTTGCCACTTGTTCATTACTATCTTCTCTTGTACCCATGGTGCTTGCATTCTTATATTCTGTTGTATGATTCAAAATTTCATCCTTGCTCAGGCCTAGCTTTGGGTTTCACAATTTATGGCTGTAGGTCCATTCGAGAGGGGAAAAATGTAGAAGCCTTCCGAGAAGGCGGTGATTGCTCTGAAAGTAGGGGAGATGAGCGACATGGTTGGTACTGAGAGCGGGTTGCACATCATCTTGAGGACTGGGTGACAAAATCCGTGTGAGTTGTGGTGATCCATATGATATTGGTTTGAAACATGTGTGTTCTTAAGTAGAGACCTTTTGTTTTTCACTGACCTCATGCAGGTTTCGAACCCTGGTGGGCGGGTTGGCGCTGGCGCACCCACACCAACCGGGTGAAGTTTGATTTATAAAATATGTTCTTACTGTGTTACATATTTGCACCGCATGCGCCCAACATCCAGAAGGGACTAAATCATGAAAATAGCACACATCACTAGCTTGTTTTCTTGCTGGTGCAGTATTTTTCTTCTTCTAGTTTTCTCAACCAACCACATCTTACATTGCTAAGAAATGTGAATTGCTCTAGGCTTGTTCAGCTAAACTCTATCGAAAACCCTAAAGTTATTCTTGGTCCACCGAGACACCTACATCCGGACCCACCGAGATACACCAGACAGAGCCACTGCCTAAACCCTAGAAATTTGGTCTCACCGAGATGGCATTCGGTCCCATCGAAGTGCACTAGCAACCTTTTTGTAGTTCATCGACTTCGTTTCAGAATTACCGAGTGAAACCGATCGAAACTACCAAAACACTCATAGTGCTTAGGCCATCTCATCGGTCCCACCGAGTGAATTCATCCGGCCTCACCGAAGCGTCTAAAGTTCAAACCTTTTACACTAATCAGTCCCTCTGAGTTTTTCACCCGGTTCCACCGACTTGCGCATAAAAGTCTGTAACGGCTAGATCTTTGGTGATGGCTATATATACCCCACCCACACCACCTACTCTCAGAGAGAGCAACCAGGATGAAGCCGCCACTTCCCATATCCATTATCTGAGAGAGAACCACCTACACTTGTGTTGAGATCAAGGGATTCCACTCCAACCATTTGATCCTTGACTTCTAGCCCCCTCAAGTTGCTTCCACTCCAATCCTTCTCCCACCACCATGTGAAATTTGTAACAGAGTGATTGAGTGTTGATGATACTATCTTTTAAAGCACAAGAGGAAGTAGTTCATCATCAAAGACAACATCTATTACCTTTTGGAGAGTGGTGTCTCCTAGATTGGTTAGGTGTCACATGGGAGCCACCAAATCATGTGGAGTTGAACCAAGAGTTTGTAAGGGAAGGAGATTGCCTACTTCATAAAGATCTACCCCGAGTGAGGCTAGTTCTTCGTGGACGTAAACCATGATGACATAGACAAAGTTTGTTCTTCATGAACCCTTCGTGGGTGAAGCCCTCCATGGACTCGTGCAACCGTTACCCTCAGTGGGTTGAAGTCTCCATCAACGTGGACGTACGATAGCACCACCTATCGAAACCATGCCAAAAATCACCGCGTCTTCATTGTGTTTGATTTCTCCGATCCCCTCCTTTACATTCATATGCAAAGTCTTTACTTTCCGCTGCCTACTATCTAGACTTGCATGCGTAGGTTGTTGCTTGGCTTATGTGAATAGCTAAAGCTTGCCAAGAACTAAAATTGGGAAAATGTTAAGTTTTTATTTGGTCAAGTAGTTTAATCACCAACTCTAGACCTACTTACGATCCTACACCGGCCCATCAGGCCGGGAACTGATGTGGTGAGATACCCCTGGGCCGGGACACAGTCACTAACCTCCTTGGAACAAGAAAGGTGGGATCTAGGCATCTAGCTGGTGGACATTTCATCTTAAGGGCTTGTTCTGATGTCCTCCAGCTTCCAACTTCACGAACTCCACAGTTGGTGTCGGGTTGAACGTTTTATCTCCAAGAAGCTGAATCTGAGAAGCTAAGGCAGTCCGTAGTGCAAAAATGCGAAACGGAGAAAGCCCAACTCAACCAAACAAAGAAGCTGAGAGTTCACCATATTTACAGAGAGTTGCCCCTGCCAAAGAAAACGGTTCGTTCTCCTCCCCCTCAAAATAGAAAAACTTACACTCCCTCTCTCATACACAGGGTTGGCTCGAGTCGGCCCGTTATGGCGCTAAGGCAGGCCAGTGATACGTCTCCAACGTATCTATAATTTATGAAGTATTCATGTTGTTTTATTATCATTCTTGGAT